AGAGAGAGTGAGAGAGAAAGCGAGAGAGAGAGCGAGAGAAAGCGAGAGAGAGAGCGAGAGAGAGAGTGCGAGAGAGAGAACGAGAGAGAGAGAGCGAGAGCGAGAGAGAGAGAGAGTGCGAGAGAGACAGCGAGAGAGAGAGCGAGAGAGAGAGCGAGAGAGAGCGAGAGAGAGAGTGCGAGAGAGAGAGAGAACGAGAGCGGGAGAGAGAGAGAGCGAGAGAGAGAGTGAGCGAGAGAGAGAGAGAGAGAGAGAGCGAGAGAGAGAGAGAGAGAGAGAGAGAGAGAGAGAGAGAGAGAGAGAGAGAGAGAGAGCGAGAGAGAGAGAGAGAGAGAGAGAGAGAGAGAGAGAGAGAGAGTGAGAGAGAGAGAGAGCGAGAGAGAGAGAGAGAGAGAGAGAGAGCGAGAGAGAGAGAGAGAGAGAGAGAGGAGAGAAAGCGAGAGAGAGTGAGAAAGAGAGAGAGAGTGAGAGAGAGCGTGCGAGACTGAGCGAGAGAGAGAGCGAAAGAGAGAGAGGGAGAGAGAGCAAGAGAGAGAGAGAGAGCTAGAAAGAGAGAGCGAGAGAGAGTGAGAGAGAGAGCGTGAGAGAGAGTTAGAGAGAGAGCGAGAGAAAGCGAGAGAGAGAGAGAGTGCAAGATAGAGAGAGAGAGAGAGAGAGAGAGAGAGAGAGATAGAAGAGATGAATTAAAGAAGAAAACAGTAACAGCAGCAAAATAAACAACATATACAACTAGACAAAGAAGACTAGACTAAGAAGACTAGACTAAGAAGACTAGACAAAGAAGACTAGACTAAGAAGACTAGACTAAGAAGACTAGACTAAGAAGACTAGACTAAGAAGACTAGACTAAGAAGACTAGACAAAGAAGACTAGACAAAGAAGACTAGACTAAGAAGACTAGACTAAGAAGACTAGACTAAGAAGACTAGACTAAGAAGACTAGACTAAGAAGACTAGACTAAGAAGACTAGACTAAGAAGACTAGACAAAGAAGACTAGACTAAGAAGACTAGACTAAGAAGACTAGACTAAGAAGACTAGACTAAGAAGACTAGACTAAGAAGTAGATGTAGACGACGAACAGATTGCTAGTCCCTAGAAAAAAAAAATGATTTAGTAGATGACAAGATGACAGTGAACATACCTAATTATAGCAACAAGATAAATTAGCTAAGACAAATATAGATGTGGCTGATAAGTTCTGTTTATTTGAAAACTGAATATTGTATACCAACATGAGACTGCAGTTATAATTATAAAATTATCTTGTTTCGTGCACATAAAAACAAGCAAATACAGAGAAAGATGCGAATCAAAAGAGAGTAACTGAAAAAACAACAACAACAACAACAAAGGAGACAACTGAAATATTCTGGTCACATTAAAAAATTCACATTCTATTAAAAACGACACTGAAGTGAAAGGGCAGGACAAGAAGAGGTAGCCAACGATACAAGTGTGAGGACAACATTAAGATATGGACGAACAGTACTCTGAAAGAGTTTACAACAAAGACAAGAGACAGAGTGTGTTGGGGATCCTTTGTAGCCAACCTTTAATGTGAAGACGGCATCTGATCGAATAACCGATACTATGTTGCAAAGCCACGAAGCTGTTCATCTCGTCAGCTTCCGAGCACCTTTCCAATAGAGTTTGCCAGTTGTCTTTAAGATTTCCAGTTTTCTTTCAGCTCATGCAGGCGTTCGAAGCTACAAGCTTGCAGATTATCGGGCAGACACTGCTGTTACTAGAACTAGTTCTGCATCGGACAAAAGCGATGTCATCAATGCATATAATAATCTGGTAATCTGGTAATCTTAGTTTCAGCTTCATAGCAAACGGGTTCTCTCATAGTTGCTCCGCTCCTGTGCCAACCATAAACACACAGAATGTTCATCACAGTCTTTTTTGGAAATACTGACAGACTGCTGTCTAGCATATACACGCATTAAATTGAAAATGTCACAAACTTTAAAAATCTAGGCTCTATAATAAACAACAACGGAGACTGTTCGACAGAAATTAAAAGGAGGATGGCTGTAGCAATACAAAGATTGAACAGCCTTAAAAGTCTATGGTTAAGCACCAGCAAGGCGATTAAAAAATTATAATTTTGAGAGCATGCATCTTCCCTGTGGCTACATACGGATGTGAGTCGTGGACTATCTCTCAGTCTTTAAGAAAGACAACAGGGGCTTTTGAAATGAAATGCTACAGAAAGATTTTCAGAATATCTTGGACAAAGAAGATGAGAAATATTGACATCTTAAAAGATCTGAACATCTAGAAAGATTGGCTAATAAACACCATCCTTTCTCACAAGCTGAAATATTTTGGTCATATCAAGCGGATTGGAAACAATTATAGCAGAAGGCATGGTACCAGGAAGGAGGGGCAGGGGCCGACTGACACGAAGATGAGCACAGGATATGTGACTCCTTGAGTGTGAAAGTTCATGAGGGGGGAGAGTTGGCGAGGTAGACTGTGATGAGAGCGACGTTCTGCAAAGGACCTGCTAATACGATGACGACACACGCATTAATATATATATATAGTGAGGATGAAAACGGCGACGGGCATGGCTTTGAGTCCAAGTCTAGACTAGTGGGTATGAAGATGCATTCTGGAACCCGGCAGACATCAACCGTTCACTCAAAGCTAAAGACGTTTGACCATCAATACAGAACCGGCTTGCGGAGCAGCTGAGGATGGAACTGAAACTCTTTAATATATACAAAAGCAAAAAGTTAGTTGTGTATTCTTTACAGGACGTTGCAGAACCAACCCCAGCAGCCCCTGGCTGTTGTGTGGTTTCTCTAGGAAAATTTACGTCTAGTAATTTGCCATTGCCTCTGGACGGTCAGCTCCTGATACCGCTGTCGAAACCAACGCAAGGCGCATGGCCCGCAGCTGGGATCGAACCCGGCACTCCGGCATCACGAAGCGTTCGCATCGACTTAGCCACAGAGCTGACAAAAAAAAAAAAAAAAAATAAATAAAAAAAAAATCTGGTCTTAAGAGAAAAAGTCAGCGTATAATCATTCTGAAATATATATATATATTAAAAAAAAAAAAACATTATTTGCCCATTGAGAAAGAATGTCTTTTAATACCATATAAAGCGTGCACGGAAAGAGGAGATTGACACAAAGCACGAGGTACTTTAAAGTAAAAAGGTAACATTAAAAAAGCTCAGCAAAAGTATTGGGTGCCTAGAGTCGTGGCGACCAGAAGAACAAGGGCAAAAACCTTTGTAACAGGGACAAATCATTAGTTGCGTCTAGGTAAAAAATTTAATACCTCAAGTCTGTTATAGACTTGATCCTTACTTCCAGAACCGACAAAAAATCCACTAAAACTTGAAGTCTGACCCACCTGCCCAGCTTTAGCACATACAAACAAGTTGCTTAAAACATGTTTATACGATTTATGGTATGGTGATGCAATTACGGGGTTTGTCCCAAATTCCTAGACACTTCTAGAAGGGTTATGTTCTTCTTTATGAAAATCCTTACTTGGCAACCGAGACACATCGGACGGAGATATGAGAAACCTGGAGATAGAGACCTCAAGGCTCCATAGGGACTCTAGAGTGCTCGTTGTCAGAGATCTTTTCCAGGACAGTTGACATAACTGTCTTCAACAGAATACCAGTTAAACCGAGATGGAAAAAAGACACTGGGAAAAAGTCCTCGACGTGGTAGACATTGACTTGATTACCTGGAAATGTCGATATCGAACATACGAAAACACAAGCCTGTAACTCCTCGACAAAGCAAACGGTCACTGATACATTCACCTCTTTCTCCTCTCTTTCCCTGTTCAAACTGCTAGTAGAAAAATTTTTTCTTTCCACTGACTTAAAAAAAAAAAATAAGCAAATTGTTTAAAGAAAAAAAAAAAAAAAGTAAAATATTTAATTACTGAGCAATAGGCGTTATTGTAACTGACTCACAGAGCATGTTAAGAAAGATGGAGACTAGCATGCTCCGTGTAAAGTCGTAAGAATCACTTCAAAGGTCCTGGGTAGTAAGCATCCTTTGAATATTTTCTCCGGGTATGCCGGTGTCTTCGGAAATGAGCAGACAAATAGTCTCCGGTTCTGCACCACTTGGTGGTGAGCTGATCTATGACAAGCTGGATTTTGTGAGGGCCCTTTTGGAGCGAGTGAACAGTGCAGATGTACAGATAGATCATTACGGTCTGAGGAGAATGGCACTGCGAGGAGTTAAAAGGGGATCTGGCTGACGCTCTACACTCAGAGGAAATGCGAGACTTACATACAGTCAGACAGTTACTGGTACCATTGGAATTTTAACTCTTTGCTTGCTGCTGAAGATGGGGACGGATCGCCTATGGGGATGTCCTGAGTTCTGTGATGTCGATTCCTAATCCAACATTGAACATTTTATTATTCATCTAAGTAGATCATTCTTTAAACAGGCATTATCGTAGCAAATAAACAGAAGTGCGACCAGGTTTCCCATCATTATGAAGCCCATTGGGGACTAACTTATTATTGCAAGTGTCACAGTAATTCCTTTTGATGGCAATATATTATCACCAAAGATCTTAGTCTAAACAGCTGCACAACAAAAGTAATGGTATTTACACAGACAAATCTATGTCCTCAATAAAATGAACGTCAAAGCAAATGAATTCTGAAACAGGTCGAATATTATAGAATAGAAAGTACTTCATTATTCGAAACAAATGTCTTCCTGTAGTGTATTTAAATAATGTGGACACAAACAGTACATTGCTAAGTTTATTGTCAGACATATCTCGCGGTATCTCGTCGGGTGCCTGAGTTACATCAATATATATATATAATAAAGCAGAAAAACTGAATAAATTCCACTGATTTACAAATGAGGTCTCTCTCAATACATTGTGTTCGTATACTTTCCGGCTAGTCTAAAAGACAAAAATAGATAGTGATATATGACAAAAATAATATTACTTATAAATAAGTAATACGATCATTCTATAAAGAGGCATTATCGTAGAAAAAAACGACAACAGCAAAAAACAGTGTGATCAGGTTTTCCGTCACTGGAACACTTTTGAAATTGCTTAAGAAACTTGACAATGTAATCGTAAGCTTGGGCAGTTGTTGTTTCAAAGATTTTTCTCAACGTGAAGAACGCATGTGGAACTCCCCGGATGACCTCCAGTTGAACTTTAACCCCAGCAGCACGTAACTTCTCCGCATAGTCGATTCCACCGCCTCTCAACAGGTCTAGCTCTGCTAGAATAATCAGAGCTGGAGGTGACGTCGCAGTATTCGTTCTTGCCATTCCGTTGACTCTGGGATTGGTCAAAAGATCTGGAATTTGGCTGTAGCCGTGATGAAGGTAAAATTTAATGTCGTTTTCATCAAGTCCTGGAACCTGTTTGAATTCCCGGACAGTGTCCTGTGATAAAGAGGTATCTGCCAACGGATAGACCAAGATTTGAAAGTCTAAACCAGAAACTTCGTTGGTGGTCCCAATAGCAAGCTGCCCACCCGAGCTGTCACCACCGACACCAAATTTACTGTTGGGTTTCCCACCAACAGCCTCTTTGTTTTCCATCAGCCACTTCGTCACGACTTCAGCATCATCCAATGGTGCATAAGGTTCATCAGGAATTGGCATCAAGCGGTATTCAACATTGACAACGATAGCTCCAGAATCTCTAGCTATGATCTTGAGGGTTACCTCATGGGTCTTTCTACTACCAAGGACCCAGCCACCACCATGAAAGTATACCATGATAGCTGGGACTTCCGGTGCTGAAGTAGGTTTGTAGACTGATACAGGAATTCCCTCTAAAGTGTATGGGGACGGAATAATTATTTCTTTTTCTTCACCGTCGAAGTCAACCTCTCCACTTAAGGCTACAAACTGAGTTGAAACTACTTGTTTCGCTTTTTCAACACCAAGTTCCGAGAGCGACTTAAACCCGCTGGCTATTAGCAATCTCCCAAACTCTCTGGATTCTTCGTGGATCTTGTACTTGCCTTCAAATGGAGCCCATGGATCTTGCCCTGTCATGATGGGTCTTTGTTGGTCTGAAATAGAAATAGTATTTGATACAGCACCTGCATTAAACACTCATAACATTCTTGATACAAGGCCTTTGTAGTGAACCTCATTTTCTCCTAGATAAATTATGTCCCAGACGGAATGACGTCAGTTAATAAATGTGAGTTGAATATTTTGAGTATAACTGGGACGACCCGTGAATTGTAAAGAAATACTGACAGACGAACTTCAGATGAATTATAATTATTCCCGGGGATCACATAGAAACTGCTGGTCAAATGGAATTCGTGTAAATCGGAGAACACGAATTCAGAAGCACCAGGAGGGCATTAGAAGGTTATATAATGCCTTAGAAAGGGCTGGTAGTCAGTCTCGTTTGGGCCAAGGAACGGAGTGCGTGGACAACGGTGGAAGGTGTGTGGATCCAACATGTGTTTGAGAGTGAAAGTAGTTTCAACGTTCAACTTGGCCATTGGCTCGGGCCGATGACAAGATGTCTGCCGGCTGCGTTAGTCAGCGTCAGAACAGCTGTTGTTTTTTCGTTCAGTGTAATCTGGTAATCAGTGTGCTTGTGGTAGGACGATTGGGATTTCGGCTAAAAGGTAAAGTGATGTATTTGATTTTTGAGTTACTATGTATGCCTGGACAGTAGTCTATTTCATGTGCCGGCGGAGGAAGCCGCGAGTGGAAGAATAAAGTGCAGAAACAGTCTCGTGTTGTTTTCCAGTCGTCCATTTTCTGCTCGTCGTGTGATGTCGGTGTGTGAAATAGGAATCGTGCAATGACGAGAGCCAGACAGAAGACAATAGAGAGAAATTGCAGCCTACATTAGAGACTGATAAGAATTCTGGACACATAGTACATGTCAGACATGGATTAAAAAAAAAAAGGCTCAAATTGAAGACTAATAAAGTATTTGATACAAAGATCAAATTGGAGATTAATAATAACAATAATAAAATTACTACAGGGTCCAAATAAGAGATTGACAAAATACTTTTAAAGCGGCCCAAATTCGAGACTGGTAAAATACTTGATACAAGGCCCGGTCCAAATTCGAGACTGTGCGAGAACAGTTATGGAAAGTAAATTTTACCATATTATGTAAAGATACAAAAGTGAACGAAAAGCTTCACAATATATAACAAACACAAACGAAAAGTGAACGTTGCGGCTACAGAGCCTTCATTAGCACATAAATAAATCCAACTGCAAGAATACACAAAATCACTGGAATGACTACATCAGCCACCGAGGTCTATGAAATGTGAGTCTAGAAACATATGCCCTATGCGTCATTTATTTAGACCAATGCCCGGCTGGCTAGCTGATTTGGTTAAACCTGACTAAGCGAGGACCTGCTGGTCGGGAGGTAGGCAGAAAGAAAGAAAAAACCCTGTAAAGAACGTTCTAATTCATTACAATTGTCGTGACTAGTATTTATTGTACAGTCGTCTGCAAACAGATCACATATTATACTAAGATGCAAAGGAAGGTCATTAATACAAGTGGCAAACATTAGTGGAATCAATATTAAGCCCTGGGGAACACCTATTTTTAACTGTTTGGGTTTTGAATAACGGTTACTGGGGGAAATTACCTGCTGCATGTCAGACAAAAATGACTTTATTAATGTAACTAAATTATCGTTAATTTTTAAGCTCTTTAGTTTACTAATTAAAATATTGTGATCAACAATGTAAAAGGCTTTCCTATATTTAACAAATACCGCACCGCAAATTCTGCCATTGTTGATGTTTAGGTGCCAGTTGTCTGTCATTTTTGTCAACACAGTATGACAAGAGTGTTTTGATCTGATCCGTGACTGGCTATTAACTAGTAAACTGTTATTTAAATGCTGAAACATTTATTTTATGAATACGTGTCGCTAATGGTTTAGATAGTGAGGATAGTAGAGAAATGGGTCTATAGTTTCCTAGAGAACTGTTGTCAGCTGAACCAGATTTAAGCAGAGGATAAACCTCAGCAATTTTAAATACTGATGGAAAGTAGTTCTTGGCAGGGCACTGATTATAGATGAACGTTAAGGAATCACTAACGACTGGTGCAGCCATCGAAGAATTCGATTACTGATTCCATCGAAGCAAGAGGAGTTTGATTGCTTGAATTTGATGAGATAATTATACACTTCAGTAACAGACATAAGGAGCATCTCACAAGGAATGGTCGTAGTGCGTTTTCCCTCAAAGAATGATGCTAAAAAATGTTTAGATGTCCGATTCCGGAGCCATCTTTTTGAAGCCACTTTTTTTTTGATTATGTAACAAAATTTTTTTTTTAAGTACTTCAGTCCCGGGCGCTGATTGTTGTGTACGTTGTGGATATTTAATATTTTTAGTCAATATACTACTGCCTAATCTGAAACTGTGTATTTGGTCCCGGTACAAACAGACGATGAGGTAAAGTAAAGCGTATAGTTGATAAATGTGATATTTTGTTCCAGACAGTATTTCTGTATTGTTGAGTTACCAGCATCTGCCAAACGTCTTTGAGATCATAAGATGGTAAAATAGAAGATACAAGCATAGATGATTTTGGAAATTTGTTACTCATCAAGACTAACAATGTGGACAAATGAGATGTGCTAACTGATTGATTGTTCATAACATCATTGATGCCGACATGGACAGTGATTATTTTAACGTTATTGTTGGGATTATATCGTTGCAATGTCGCTGACACCCTATTGATATCCGCACGTGGTAAAGGATGGACTAACATGGTCTCGTTATCTGTTGACATCCGGTCACTGTAGATTCCCTTCATCAGAGAATCACCAATAATAAGATGTGACACACTGGAGTCAATGTTTAATTTATGTTTTTGTCGGGTCTGTCTGGAGCGCTGGTGCTGCCACTGGCGACTGTTATCTCTAGGCTGCTCTGTTTCTGAATGTGAGATCTGAGACGACAATTGTTCCGCAGAGGAAGTCTGTGGATCATTTTCTGAACTAAAAGCCTCAAATTTGTTGCCTATTTTAACATCAATTGGATAAATAGGGACAGTGCTCTCAACAGGCTGAGCAGGGGTTTCGTGATTCTCAGCTGCTTTTATCGCGTCTGTAGTGTCTGATTGAATAGTGTCATCATTTGAGATGGTACTTGTCGTTAGCTCGAGAAGAAATATTTTGTTCTGTCACAATGTTTAATTCATTTGGGGGGAGGGGGGGGGGGGGCAATTTTTTTCCTGTTCAAATTGCTAAACAATCTCTGATGAAAGATAGGACGTAGATGTAGACGACAGACAGGTAGCTAGTCACCAAACAGACAGGATTTAGTAGTTCTAGACAAGAAAAGATGACAAGGTAGATACATAATTACAGCAACAAGATAAATAAGCTAAGATAGAACTAGAAGTGGCTAAGTTCTGTTAATTTAAAAACTGAATATTATATTGCATTTATAATTACAGAATTATTTTGTTTCTGCACACAAAAACAACAAAATGCAAAGAAATATGCGAATGAAAAGAGAGTAACTGAAAAAAAAAGGAGGCAATGGAAATATTCTGGCCACATTAAAAGATTCACATTCTGTTAGAAACAACACTGAAGGAAAAGGGGGGGGGGGCGAGAAGAGTTAGACAACGATACAAGTGTAAAGACAACATTAGAGTTAGACAACGATACAAGTGTGGAGACAACATTAGAGTTAGACAACGATACAAGTGTGAAGACAACATTAGAGTTAGACAACGATACAAGTGTGGAGACAACATTACAGTTAGACAACGATACAAGTGTGAAGACAATATTAGAGTTAGACTACGATACAAGTGTGGAGACAACATTAGAGTTAGACAACGATACAAGTGTGGAGACAACATTAGAGTTAGACAACGATACAAGTGTGAAGACAATATTAGAGTTAGACTACGATACAAGTGTGGAGACAACATTAGAGTTAGACAACGATACAAGTGTGGAGACAACATTACAGTTAGACAGCGATACAAGTGTGAAGACAATATTAGAGTTAGACTACGATACAAGTGTGAAGACAACATTAGAGTTAGACAACGATACAAGTGTGGAGACAACATTATAGTTAGACAACGATACAAGTGTGAAGACAACATTAGAGTTAGACAACGATACAAGTGTGAAGACAACATTAGAGTTAGACAACGATACAAGTGTGGAGACAACATTATAGTTAGACAACGATACAAGTGTGGAGACAACATTACAGTTAGACAACGATACAAGTGTGGAGACAACATTAGAGTTAGACAACGATACAAGTGTGAAGACAACATTAGAGTTAGACAACGATACAAGTGTGGAGACAACATTATAGTTAGACAACGATACAAGTGTGGAGACAACATTAGAGTTAGACAACGATACAAGTGTGAAGACAACATTAGAGTTAGACAACGATACAAGTGTGGAGACAACATTAGAGTTAGACAACGATACAAGTGTGGAGACAATATTAGAGTTAGACAACGATACAAGTGTCAAGACAATATTAGAGTTAGACTACGATACAAGTGTGGAGACAACATTAGAGTTAGACAACGATACAAGTGTGGAGACAACATTAGAGTTAGACAACGATACAAGTGTGGAGACAATATTAGAGTTAGACAACGATACAAGTGTGAAGACAATATTAGAGTTAGACAACGATACAAGTTTGAAGACAATATTAGAGTTAGACTACGATACAAGTGTGAAGACAACATTACAGTTAGACAACGATACAAGTGTCAAGACAAAATTAGAGTTAGACAACGATACAAGTGTGAAGACAGCATTATGAAATGGAAAAACAGCATTCAGAGAGTTTATAACAAAGACAAGAGATAGAGTGATAGGGATCCTTTATAGCCAACCTTCACTGTGGAGACGGTACCTGATCGAATAAATGATACTATGTTGCAAAGCCACGAAGCTGTTCATCTCTTTGTCAGCTCCCGAGCACCTTTCCAATAAGAGTCTGACAACTGTCTTAAAGATTTCCAGTTTTCTTTCAGCTCATGCA